ACATACATACATACATACATACATACATACATACATACATACATACATACATACACCGATTTCTGTAGTGTAGGCAAATATAAAACGACCTCATTTGTGGGCAACCTAATATGCTCTTTAACTTGTCAACTTTGCATATATTTTAAGAGCCTTTAGCTCAAAAACTAAACGTCCAATTACTTTGGGAATTTTTTAACATTTCACGCAAGGTCATTGTCACTTGTGATCTGTACTCTTTAAGGTGCACTTGTCAATCGGTTTGGCTGATGATGTCATTCGTGTGGTTATGATATTGTGTCAGATATTGAAAAAATGTGAGGGTATCCTTGAAAACAAAAGTTCGACTCCTTCGGAATTGTTCGCTGCATAAAAAGTGGCTACTCTTTATCGATTGACCATGCTTCAGTTGAATGAATCAAAGAGAAAATACGTCAATAAATCACTTCAGGTGGGCCCTCCGGTTTCGTCAGTCAAGAGAGAAGATTCAACGTGAGCAGACACACTGTATGCGACCCGAGATCACTTTGCAATGATAGGTTTCCAAAAGTACAGACCTATACGTTCTTACTACTCTCTGACCGTCTAGGTACAGACCCAAGCAGGCTGGAAGCAGAAAGATAATACGGAAGGAAGACGCATCCATCCTAACACATCGCTTGGGAAATCGGTTTGAACTGGCAACACAGACCCAAATGAGTCGAACAGAATTAGAAATGGTAATCCGATCTTGTTCACGACTGTGTTTCGTTGTTTGAAAGCGGAGTACCTTTGTGCATGGAATGAGATGGTCGCTTTGTGTTTGGAATACGTACGTGTTTTCAAATAAGTCCTGATTTTGACTGGAACGGCACGATGGACAGGACAGAGTCTACAGAAGACCCAACCAAAAGTACACCTTAGCTGGCTTCAGAAAAGCAAATAATTTTGGTGGAGGCAGTGTCATGGTGTCGCTGCAATCTGTGATCCTGGCAAAACCACACTTGTGCCTATTCGTGGGAACATAACAGATCAAGGCTACATCAACCAAATTCTCGAGCCCAATGTTCTTTTCTTTCAAAATCAAGCCCAGGAACAAGTAGTCATGCATGATGATGCACCTGCTCATAAAGCAGCTGTGACAAATCAATACATTTCTCAAAGCCTACAACATTCTTCTCTTGCACCATGACCAGGGCATTCACCAAATCCCAATACAATTAAGTAGCCTACTTGCAGGATTTTAGATATCGCCATTCGTGCCAGACCACGTCAGATCCGTACCCTTGCTTGGTTAGAACAAGCCTTTAATTCAAGAGTGGAGTAGCATCCCTCAACAGACAATAAATCTCAACTCAATCAATTCATGCTTCGACGATGTGAAGCTGTGAACAACGCCAGATCTCATCACACTTGTTACTGAAGCTGTCACTTTGCATTTAGACCCCTGACAACTGGACGATCAAAATTGTTGATTAAAAACGTTCTTCTCTTTGCATTCAATGTGTTTGCCCTGTTGTAAAATGAATGCCCTGTCTTATCTAAAATTTTCAGATGGATTTGATAGATATTAATCAAGATATTAGTGCCTTTAATATGAGGTGTGAAATTACAAATGTTAAAGAGTATACTTTGTCAGCCTGTTGGAATGTAGCTTTTCTTTGCTTTTATTTTGTGCCCAATGCAGCCGGCTTCTATTATAATAATTTGTGATCAGGTCAGCTAAACTGATTAAGGAAAAGAAAGCAATTTATGACAATCCCCCAAATAGGCGTAGAATTTGCTGATTGCAGATAGTTTATTGTATTCACAGGATGAGTTGATTCAAGGTTTTAAAGATGTTCATCAACCCCAGTTTCTTGGCTACTTCGAGAAACTTTTGAGTGACAATGGAACTGGTTACTTGGTTGGAAATGATGTGAGTATTGTGTGTGTGATTGTGTGTGTGTGTGTGTGTGTGTGTGTGTGTGTGTGTGTGTGTGTGTGTGTGCGTGAACGTGTGTATATCTGTATGTGTGATTGTTAGTGCGACGGTATATTTGTGTGCGTATGCAAAAATATATAATATTATATTCATAGTATATTATTATCTTCTATTCCCAGCTCTCATTGGCTGACATTGCTGTTTTTGACGTCGTTACTGGTTGGCTGGGAACATACATGGGTCCCATAGACGATTTTCCATTGGTCAAAGCCTTGGTGGACAAAGTGTGGGAGAGAGACGGAATCAAGTCGTATATGGCAGCCAGACCTGACAGAGAAGGCTGAGTTGGGCCTTCGTCTACCGTGTCGTAACAAGTTGCCCAACACTGTGACCTGCTGTCAGCAACGACCTTGCATAATTATGTGTACTCTACCTAGACCTATATAGAGTAATGGAATAAAAATGTGGCACTTATGTGTAAAAACAGAATGTAGCTGCCTATTGATAGAGGTGGTGCCATTTTATACTATTATTTGCATAAACAAGTTCTGCTTTCCTAGATGCATGGCCCCCAACCAGAGTAATATTTCTGTTGTTGTTATTACCTATTATCGCCACTCTCATCATCACCATCATCATCATCATCGTCATTGTGTTGTTGCTTTTTTATAAATCCAAACTTGCTATTGATAGAATTAAATAAAGTGGTCTGTCATTTGTTCTTTGTTGCTTGCTTCCTTTAGTTGTGATTTTTACTTTCGTATAGATGTCTTCTTTTTCCCTTTCTTCCGCGGGAGGAGGCGTGGGGGGGGGTGTCTCGGAAAAAAATAGAACCGTTTTCGAACATGTATTCACATTACGGGTTCCTGACAAAATTCCTTGTGAAACAAAGGCTTGATGTTCGTCTGAATGGTTGGAGATGTTTTGCGCCCCTATATACACAAACAGGTCATGTGGGAACGAAACTGTTTCATCCCTGCCAATCACAAACAACCCAAGCTGAATGGAACACGACGCCCAGGTACACAGACGCAGCGGGTGGTTGGCGGGTGCTCTAGTGTGGTTCGCTCCTTCTTTTTTTATCAAACATTTATATTCCTTATTTCTCCTCCTGTTTTTTTGTTTGTTTGTTTGTTTGGTTGGGGCTTTTTTGTTACTCTCTTGTAATTCCTCAAATCTTTGGCGCGTATATGATCTTATTGTGTTGCAAGTACCGTAAAAAATTCACTGAAGCAAAATCAAAGACAGACAGAAATACTCGGTTGAAATAAAAGACTCTAGCAGGGAATCTAACTAATGTCTAATGAGTGCAATGAAGAAGTGCCTAACTATTACACCACTGACATCAGTACCAACGATCGTACTCCTTATTATGAGTTTTCAAAAATGCTCCAAACCTTTCTTGATTCATTTCATAGTTGAATGTTGTGCCATTGGAGAAAAGGTATCTAATGAAAGGATATCGCAGATGTTTACGGCTAGAGAAAATATCATTGTAGCGTTGACTGGACCCCGAAAGAATGGGGTTCATTCTGGTTAGATTTTTTAACGACCCTGGCTCGAATCCCCATGGTGACCTCGAACTGTGGATGTCTGTTGCAGGAAGAATGGGGGACCCAATAATACTAAATTGATACATTTTATTGTATTTAATATTTTGACAATTATAGTGGCGTCCAAAAGAAACTTTAAAATGTATTCACCGAATTATCTTGTTAAAGCCTCGCACTGCCCACTCTTGCAGCATACCATTTTAAAGCTTAAAACGTCCTGCATAATCTAACACATTACTTTTTCATCTACGACAGGAATAGCTCGAGATAATATTATGGTCACTCAAAACCTGACCTTGAAAAAATAATGCTTGGTAAAATTGTGTGAAGTCAAATGAACATAAAAGTGTGTTTTTTTGCACTTGTATTTGAGTGTATTAACGATGGTGGAATGGACATGTATTACAAATAAATGGAGAACATTATGGTCTCTCTAATAAACAATGTTTAATTAAGATATTTTCTGACATAAGGGAAAACAGAACATTCACAAATGCCACACAAAACTTGGACGCACGTTAAATGTGCTCTATAATACTTTGTTTTTGTGTAGAGTACCAACCCTTTCTGAGCATGGACTGTTTTAATTATATTTTGGACATAATCATAACTGAAGAACCGGGCCTACGAAGCTGCCATGATTTGGGGCGGCCTAGCTGGAATGAACAAAACCCCACCCATGAGAATCAACGGAAGGATTCGTTTCGAGGATTACATCGTGCAAGTGCTTGAACGTCATGTCCTATGATTATTATTGTCATGGCATTATTCAAGCAGACATCTTCATGCATAACAAAGCACCGTTTCACACGACCAATGTTACTAGAAAGTTCTAGGGAAAGCAAATAATACCAACGACGGAGCGGTCATCGGTATATAGCTCCGATATAATATGAATCCTAGAGATATGTGGAGCCCCATTAAACAGGATCTGAAGAAAAATGATTTTGCTCCCAGTTCAGATGCTTTGTTTACAACTCCGTATGACTTTTGAAATGAAATCACAGATAAATATGTCCATACTTTGGCATAGTCCATGTCCACAGGGTTCATACTCTTCACAAAACCAATGTCTCCTAAACAAAATGCGTTTAAGCACAATATGTACTGTTAAGCTTTGCTTGGTATTTGTGACTGCCCTGTTTTCCAACCTGTTTCAGAATGAAATGTCGTTTATTGCCGAAAAAAATCCCCAATTTGAAAAGGAATACATGTCCATTCCACCAGGGCCTTTGCATCTCAGTACGAGCGTGAACTCACTCTTATGTTTCTTTGATTTCAAACAATTTTGTAAGCATGACTTTTATGGTCAGTTTTAGAAGACCATATCTTTGGCAACGACTGTCGTAGATTTAAAAAAATAATGTATCATATGATACAGAATTTATTTAGCTGAAACCACCAGGAATACCATTGGACGAACGGGGCGGGCCCTGAGTACCAGAACCCTACGGCGGAGATTTGCACTCCACAGGCCTCCGGTGTTGACGGCCATGTCACATGCCAGTTCTGAACTCTCAGCACCGTCGTAACCAGCGTGTGTGGGAAAAGGCTCATATGAACTTTAGGAACAGACATTGGAGAAGGATGCTCTTCGCCGACGAGAGCAAATTCTACGTTGATATGTCAAATGGGCGCTAATGCCAACGTTGTAGAGAGAGACTCCTGGGGACAAATCACAGAACTGGACCAGTGTTCTTCTATAAAGTGAGTCATGGACAGGAGATAAGGTTACAGCTCAGGGCAACATTGACCAAGTTCTTCAGCCTCATCTCATGTTTTGCTCTTTTTCAAGAGGCATCTAAATTTCTTCTTTCAGCAAGACAACGCGAGATCTCATACTGCCTACGTAACACAGTGGTTCCTGGGACTGATCAGTATCAGTCTTTTGCTTCATCCGGCTCGTTTTCAAGATATAAACCCCATTCGAACACGTTTGGGACGCTGTCCAGAGGCAGCTCAACCAGCTGGAACCACGACCACAGACAGCCCCTCATTTGGATGCAGCCATTAGACAGGTGTAGGTACAAATCTCAGGTCGACAAATAAACACTCTCGTGAATGTGTCGAAGATGCAGAGCTGTTATTACAGTGAACGGATGCCACACACGGTACCAACACGGTTCCAAGGTCAAGGTCACAGAAATAGCATAGTTAGGCAATAAAACAGCCAGCTATTGACGCTCTCATGGCTGTGTAAATTGGACGAATTAGAAATTAATTTACACATGACAAGCCCTGTTGAGTGTGGTGTGTTTTATTCATGCATTAGTCATTAACCTTTCTTTTGCCTCTGAGTATTATTTTACATGTCATTGTTCTCCATCATTAAACAGTCTGTTCAGTGACTGGGCGTAAATTACGTTTACCATGCCATGAAAACTTAGGCCTTGTAGTTTTGTAAAAGGTCAGCAGCCAATGTGACTTTGAATATTACAGGCAGGCTGAACGAGGCTGAGGCTAAGGTAAGTCGTCCATTGCAGAGGCAGATTGTTTAGAGGGATTGGGTTGTTGTTGTTTTTTTTCTGTTTTGATTTTCAAATGCATTCCATCTCAGTTTTATGGAAAAGTTAAATGTGTACTTATTTTGTTGCTTCGTCTTGCATACGTAAGAGACGGTTTAACATCTCAGACATACGTTGTTTTTGTTTGTTTTAGATTTAGATAATACATCTTTTCACAACAGTCTTTTGAACATGGAAGTAAGATTTCCGACTCTATTGAGTCTACGAAAACATACAGGAATCCTACTGTAAATATAGACTTTCAGAACTTAACAAACGACTGAAAGGAGATAAACCTCAAACAAACTTCATCAAGGACAATACAATAGTGACAATAGCATGAATTATTCCCTTCATAAGAAGGCAACAACATTAATACTTTTTTATGCTTTGTAATTTTGAACCTTAAGTTTTGGCCTACTTGTTTTCCTGTTCCAAACTAACTTATGTTGATTTTCCGAAATAGACATCTGGGTTACGTTTCGTTTAATATTTATTAAACAGTTCCTAACAGACTTTTAAAGTAACCAGCTCTTCAACTACATAGATAACAGGTGGATAAGTTGCAGATTTGGTCGTGTTCTGATTAAACGCTATTCTTGTTTTATTGGACATTGTTATTAAATAATTTGCAGCAGCTGTGCGCACTGCAAACATTCCGAGAGCGGAAGACAATGAGAATGGCAACCCATCCGTACACCTTTCTGTATTTTGATGCCATGGGCCGAGGGGAGTTCATCAGACTGGTTTTTGCTGCAGCAGAAGTACCCTTTGAGGACATCCGTTTTACTCACCAACAGTGGCCCAAGTACAAAAAACGTAATAAAATAAAATTATATTTAAATAAATTAAAGTTTATCGATTAAAATCATTTTAATATATGCTTTTAAAGAAGAGTTGTTGTTTATTTTCATTGTTATTACTGCTATTTTGTTGTTATTGTAGCGTGGTAGTTGTTGATACTGTTGTTGTTGTTGTTTTTGTTTTCGTAGTTCTTGTTGCTACCTGGGTAGTTGTTATTACGTATCATTGTTGTCGATGTTGTTGCAAAATGCATTATTATTGTTGTTTTAGCTGTGGGTGTTGTAATAAATCTTACTGCTGCTTTTTCTTCTATGTCTTCTCTTTGTTTCTTTTTTTTTTTCCTATTATTATTCATTCCACTGATTTGGCGGAAAGAGACAATGGTGAAAGTGATAAACAACTCTAACTATACGATACATGTACCGTTCTTTTAATTGCTTTTTGCCTTCTATCACAATTTGTGCGTTTCTATTTCCACCTCCATTGTTGTCCTTTTTATCATCATCCTTATCATTATCATCAATGTAGAAAAAGATGAGAAGGGTAGGAGAATTTTGAATAATATTCGGACTGTAAATACATTGAAATGTGCATTTTATTTTCAAATTGGTTTAATAAAACGACTCAGGTTTGCGCCTTGAATGCTTTTTCGGGAACGTCTGGCAGTAAAACTAAACACAACGCTGTATAAGTTACAAGGAAGAGGGCCTGAGAAATGAGGTCTTATAGTCAGTAACAGGCGTGCCGGATGTGACTCATTGTATGCCAGGTCAACATTGTATTAGACTGCGAAGTATGTAATATGTCTCTACTTCTATAAAACATTGCATGGCCAAGTATGTCTCTTCTTCTGTAAAGTATTATGGCTAAGTATATATGATCTACTTCTATGACACTGCAGTTGCACCGTTCGGTCAGGTGCCATACCTGGAAGCAGCTGGCAAACGTTATGGACAGTCCGTGGCCATTGCCACATACCTAGCGAGAGAATTCGGTAAGTTAGTTCTTTCAATTGTTCAATTATGAGTGGTCAATAGCAGTATTTGTCATTTCATGAATTAGATGTGTGTGGTACCATATGTTTCATATTTACCAATGCCAACAAAAGCACACAAAAAACGAAACAGGAAAAAACATCGATAGCGGTCAACAAAATATATTTAATATTATATATGTTTTAGCCAGGTCTCTTGATGAATCAAAACACAGTTACAAAAATATCATAGAAAGACAAATGTGAGGCATCGTGGTGAAATCAGCCGCTTGTCAAAATAATGAAATCAAGGAGACTGGCATTTCTCAGTCCGTTTGGCAATTTTTATTGAATTATTTTATTTTTATTTTTACTCATCACATTTAAGGTCCATTTAAAAACAAATCTCTGGGTGGATTTATCAGAAAAATGTGGATGATTTGAGGCACACAGATGTAAATTTGCAGTTTCTAAGGACGGTAAAGCTTTGGAAGTCCAAAAACTTTGGCGGTTATTTTCTAGCTAATTTTACCACTGAAATGAGGCACCCCCCCCCCCCCCCCCCATTAGAATTGCAGATACCTTGACTTCTATTCATGATATATTAGTATTGTTTTCACTGAAGCAAGACAAATGAACAAGCTTTAAAATTATACCAATAACTCCACATGTCCAAAAAATGACGAGCGCCTGATTCCATGTCCACCGTGTGATAACATAAATAGTCCATTTAATTTGCATATTTAACTATGCAGTTGCAAAGAATGCTGTAATGTCACTGGAAGTGAAAGGTTCTTTGTTTTGACAACACTGCTTTCTGCAGCCCAGGATTATAGGTAAACGGTTCATCAAAGAAATCTGTGGTTTAATTTTGTTATATTTCTTCCCAGGTTTGCATGGAATAAACAATCTAGAAAGCCTCGCTGTTGATCAGGTTCTTGGTCTGATTCAGGATTTGAGACACTTTGGGGACAACATTTTTCTCGAGAAAGATAAAGACAAAAAGGTATGTTTAACAAATGAAAAGTTAATACTTTTTACTCTGATTCAATCATTTGGCCTGAGCCTACGTCTACTGTTATTTTCTAGATTAATTAAAATTTTATATTCAAGATATTAGGTAGCACTTGTCAAAGAGTGAGTATTCAATAACTGACTATTAATTACTAAGAACCCCTTTCTGGGAAGGTATTTTTGGTCTTAATATCCGTCTCTCTCTCTCTCTCTCTCTCTCTCTCTCTCTCTC